GAAGACCGACACCGGCGGGCCAAGCCGGCCGCCGACGCGACCCAACCGCCACCATCCAGGACGGCGGCGCGGGCACACGGGCGCAAGCAGGCCACCGCGCGGTGACGAGCGGAGAGAGGAAAGAGCACGGAGAGGGCAGGGGAACCCGTGGCCGGGGGGGGGAAGGGCACCGCACCGCACCCAAGCGCGGGGGCACCGCATCACCGACACCCCGCCTGCCGGCCCGGCGGGCACGGGAGCGGCGGCGCGCACACACGGACGGGGAGGAGCGCCAGGCCCCTTTCTCCGCCCGGAGGCGGCGCGCCGACGTCCACGGTCCAGCCGGCCAGCCGGCCGGGTCGCGTGTGGCGCACACCCGAGCGGCCGGAAAGCCAGGGGCGACGCACACGACGCAACGCACGCCACACGGCCACGGGGGGGTCTTTTCTCCAACCTCCCTCAGAAGCCGGCCCGAATTCACTCGCTCGCACGGACGCGGGGGCCGAGCGCACAGCGACCCACGCCGCCGCGGACCGGCGGTGCCGGCAGGGGGTCGGGGGTCCGCGGCGACGACGACCCATCGGCGACAAGTCACCGGCCAACGGCGGCGGCCGGAGGCGGCGGCAGGGACCCCGGGAGGCGGGCGACACCAAACCCAACGCACGCGAGCACGCTCACACGCGGACACCGCCGGCACAGAGCGGACAGGGCCAGGCACGGGAACCGGGGTCGCGCCGGGCACGCGGCGGCGACACGCCGAGAGAGCACAACACCCCGGATCCGGGACAGGGGCGGGGACGAAGCCACACGGCTCGAGACGGAGGAGACGATGCGATGCGGGCAAGCCTACGCACGGCAAAGCGGGAGGGAGGCGCGGGAACCCGGGACAACATCGCGCAGGCACGCGAGGCGGCACCCAGCGGGAGGAGGCACGTCGTGACGCCGGCTTCGGGCCCCTCGGACGGCCAACTCCCGAGCGAGGGACGCACGCGGGAATCTCACCACCATCGCCCCCGTGGCGTACCGGCGGTCCCGCTGGCAGGAACCCTCGTCGTGAGCAAAACCGATCCGGGAAGACCCTTCAAAAGCCACCGCCGCCGCGACGACGTGCCTCCCCCACACCGGGGGAGCAGCCTCACGAGCTGAGCGCCGTCCCCCCCCCCAAGAGAACACCAACACAACGCCCGACTCGACCGTCCGCCGGTGGCCGGCCACCAGGCCAAACCGGCGAGGATCGCGGAAGGCTGATGCGGGTGAGGAGGGCACGCCGGAAGCACAACAAGAAGAGCAGCGGGAGGGTCACCGGGTCGGGTCACCGGGGCGAGAGGCGAGTGAGCGAGCGGCCACCCCCTCACACGGGCGGGTGGCGCAGCCGCAGACCAACGGGGAGGTGGGACCTTTCCGGGCACAGCCGGCACGCCAGGTAAACGAACGCGGGATCTCACCACCCCCAACTCCGGGGCGGTCCCGCGCAACGCCTGGGACACCGAGCCGGCCGACCAGCGGACCGGAAACCCCCACCGCGGCAGCGGCGGGCCCCCCCAAAAGAGGCCCGAGAGGGAAAAGGCAGCTCTCGCACACACCTCAAAGACCCCGTGAACGCCCGCGGAGCCGCCCGCGCCAGCAGGGCCCCACCGCCTCCATCCACACCACACCGCCGGGCACAGCACCCATCATCGACCGCCTCTTTTTCGGCCGCGTGAGCAAGGGCCCACACACACCGGGATCCTCGGCTCCGGGGGGCCAGAACCCCCCCGAGCGGCGCACCACCACGGGCACGGCGGCCCCGGAACACCGCGGGGCCCAGCGCCCGCACGGCGCCGTCGTCGCCAACGGGCGGCGGCCCACACAGACGCTCGGGAACAGCGTCGCCAGGGGCCGGAGGGGGAGGGGGACGGGACCCCCAAAAACCCCACGGCAACCCAAGCACGAGGCCGGGAAGCCACACACCACACGCCCTCGCATCGCGACCCGGCACGGGCTCCAGGCTCCGCCACTCGACACACCGCACGCGAGGCAGGGGCGGGACGGATCGGGAACGTCCTCCACTCACCACACCAGACGACGGCCCGGGAGAGGTCCCGCGGGACCCTCCCCCAGCTCGGAGGGGGGAGGCGCGGGCACGCAGTTTACCGACGCGGGCAGCCACTAGCGCTCAAAAGCAGGGCAGGGAGCGGCAGGGCCGCGGGAGCCCATCGGGGGCGGGCCCCCGCCAACCCAGCAGCGCACGCCGCTTCCCGAACGAGGATCGCTAGAGAACCCCTCCTCACTCTGAGGGTGGCCCGCACCCAACCCCGACGGGAACCCCGCCGGGAACCAGCACACATCAGAGGCGTCCATCCTTCCCACCACGGGGGGCAGGGAGGGGTGGGGCACAGGGGGGGGGTCTGCGGCAGCAGCAACACCAACCCTGGTCGGTCGGCCTTGCCGTGCGGGGCCAGAGCAAAGTCGCGCACACGGGCGGGAAGCCCGCACGGGCCCCGCTCGCCTCCCACTGCAACATCTCAGGTCCCCCGGTGCGATGAAAGCCAGGTGACACGGCAGGGAAGACAAGCCAGGACCAGGGCGGCAGCTCATGCGGGGAAGCCACCGCCCAGCGCAACAAGGGAAGAGCGCTCCTCTGGGGAACCGCCTCGACCCCCCCCCAGCAGAGACGTCAATCTCAACGGTAACTTCTCACTCGCACAAAAGCCCCACGAACCCGAGGACGGCCGGGACACACCACGGGCAGCAGGCTGGCACAAGGCAGCGGACAACGCCAGGATCGGGAACGACACCACCACTCAGCCACAGGCACCTGAGAGAACCAACCGGGAGCGTTCCGGGAGCACCGCAAGAGGGCAGAGCGCGAGGCGCGGTTTTTCACACCACACAGCACGGGCAAGCACGGAGCACCGACCCTCCCTCTCCGCGGAGAGAGCCGACCCCCGTGCCGATAACGAGTCACGGGAAGAGAGGAGCAAGATCAGGGCGCCCCCCTCCTCCAGCGTGTACAAGTCCCCGACCTCACGGCGAGGGCAGGGAGAGCGCAGCCGGGCCCGGTTGCCGCACCCCCGCCTCCCCGCACACCACCGGCGCCGGCACGGTGGGACGGGTGAGGGCAGGGGCCCACGGGCAGAACGAGAAGAGCGGTCCCATTCGCCATGAATGTCCGTCCCTCGCCTGGCGCAGCTTAGGCCCGGGCCCGAAGGAGATCGCAACGTCACCACATCAATCACACCGAGGGGGTGGGAGAAGGCAGCCACGCGGCACTCGGGAGGCGGTGGCCCAGGGAAGCTCGGCTCCTGAGAGGGCCAACAGCCTGGGGATAAAAGCGTAGCCAGGACAGACACCCTTCCGTGAGTAAGGAGCGAGGTAAAAAGAAAAAGAAAAAAAAAAATGAAAAAAATACCACGGGGCTTAAGCGTCCCTGGCACTCGGGATAACCAGGACACCTCTGCCGGGCACAGGACCGAAGAAGCTAGAAAGGGAGGGAAAAAAAAGAAAAAAAAAAAAAAGAAAAAGAAAAAGAAAAAAAGCCACGGACAGCGCTCGGGAGGTAGCGCAGCTCAGCGGCCGACCAGGCCCGCCATCGGGAAGCGGCAGGTCGGGGGAGTTGGAGCTAGGGGCGATAGGAGGAAGGAAAAAAAAAAAAAAAAGCCACGGAGGTCGGGCGAGCCCAACGGCAGAACGGGGATGCCGCACACGCAAGGCAGGACTCGGCGGCCCCCCCCTTTTTCCTCCTTCAGGCCGGCCACGGCGAGGGAAGCACACCGTGCGGGCCCTACCTATGCACACCCCAGGCAACCAACCACTCTCCTCCTCAGCGTGCCGAGGCAAGGGCCAGAATCCGGCACCGGGAGCGGGGGAGAGATCAAGGACGACGGGACTCACTCAGCCGCCAACCACCACCACACCCACGAGCCACCACAGGGACATAGGGCCTGCCCAGGGCAGCGGGAGCCCAGGGTGTGAGGGGAAGGACAGGGGGACCCGGACCGGGAAGAGACGGGAAAGGCCCGGCACACAGCATCCGAGAGAGCCCCCAAAGACCCGCTGACAGCCACCGGGACACAGCATGCCAGCACCCTCCTGCAGGTACAAAATCCTCACGTCACCACGCCAAAACCAGGTCGTCAGGCAGGGGCGACAACTCGCTGGCGACAGGGACCTCTCGGAAACCACATCAGGGACACCTGTCCCCAACACGTCCCCAACAGAGCCAGACACGGAACTCTCAGGGACAGCTGGTCGACCACATAAGGCGAAGACAGACGAAGAGCCAGGGCGGGAGCGGGGTCAAGGGACGCTCCCGCCCCACTACCTCGCAGGCACACACCCCGGGTGTGCACGGGCTCACCGCACGGGCGGTACGGGGAGCCTTCCCCCGGCAGACGCGAGGCACCCACTCCGAGAGGCACCCAACCACCACACCCACACCGCGTGGGGTCGGTGGTGAGCGCCCTGCCGCCAGCACGCACACACCCGGGACTCCCGGGCTCGGGTCCCCGACTCCCGAGGTGCTCCCTCCGCCTCGAGTTTTCCCCTACGCAGGGCCCACCGGGCAAGTCCCCGCAGATGGTAGGTAGGTCCCGGCCCCGAGGCTCGCCTCGGCCGTGCCCGCGGCTCCTCCCGCCGGAGAGGTCTGTCCTCCGGCCTCCGGGGCCGTGGAGGAGGCCGTGGAGGGAGGCCACACGGGGCCGGCGACCCAGGCCCTCGCGCCCGGCACGCGCCAAGCGCTCACTCGGAGGTGACTCCGACGACCATCCTATGTCGGGGATGGGGGGGGCGTAGGTCCCGGCCCCGAGGCTCGCCTCGGCCGTGCCCACGGCTCCTCCCGCCGGAGAGGTCTGTCCTCCGGCCTCCGGGGCCGTGGAGGAGGCCGTGGAGGGAGGCCACACGGGGCCGGCGACCCAGGCCCTCGCGCCCGGCACGCGCCAAGCGCTCACTCGGAGGTGACTCCGGGGAGGGGGGGGGGGTCCGAGTCCGGGCCGGGACCGGCCCCACCACCTATCGGCTCACCCGGGGACCCTCTCCCCCGACTCCCGAGACGTCCCTCGTACTCTCCTTTTTTCGCCCTCAAAGACCAGAGTCCAGGGAGGGGAGGAGGACAAGGCGTCGGGCCCAGACAGAACTACTGGTCGACCCGACAAAGCTGCCACCCCCCGCACAGACCGGGCACCGAAGAGAGAGCGGCGACGCACGGCCCCACCCCGCGCTCGCCTGCGGGCGCAAAGTCCGACAGAACAGCCGCCCCGGCGCCACAGCGACACCACGGCGACAGTCGCGCCCGGCACCCGGCAGAGGCCGGGCCTCCGCCCGGCTCGCTGCCGCCAGACCTCCTCCTCCTCCACTCGCTCGCTCGGCTGAGAACGAGGGGACTGTCATATCAAAGCGGACGCCAGGGGGAGCACGACAACCGCCTTCCAACGACCGACTCCACCGAGCCGCCGTACCCCGGATCGGCGCGCGCCGGCCGGCTCTGAGCTCCGGAGACACAGAACACGGAAACAAATCGCCTCACTCACCACCGCCACGCACCGAGTGGCACAACCTAGGTCAGGACCTGCAGCCGGGTCCTCTCTGCGACCTCACGAACGACACCAGAGCCACCAGAGACCTAGACCGAGATCGGGCCGCCGCCGCCGCCGCCGCCGCCGCCAGCGACCAAAGTGAAACCAGGAACCAGGACGAGATTCGCCCGAACGGAGCGGCCCGAACCCGAGAACCGGGAAGCTGGGATCGGTCCCAAGCAGGAAGGGGCGGCAAAGACGGCAGGCCCGCACCACGAGAGAAAACGAACCGGCCACCCGCACGACCTCCGCCGCCCGTGGCAAGACCCCCACCCCCGCCCAACATGGCCAGAAAAGGGCAAGTGAGCGCTCGTCCCACCGTCTGCCTGCCCGTCTTTTTTTTTTTTTTGGGGGGGGGGGGGTTGGGGGGGGTTGTTTGTACGTTTTGTTTTCTTTTTCCCCCAGATGGAAACCAGAAAGAGAAAAAAAAAAAAAAAAAAAAACTCCCAAAGATGGGTCGGCTCCAGCAAGAGACGAGCCGTCGGGAGGCACCCCGCTCACTTGTGAAAGTCCGCTCCTCGCCCGCCCCACAACACACTCCCTCCCCCCGCCCCCACCCGCCACCCCTCACAGGCAGGGAAAGGGCAGGGGGAAGGCCAGAGAGAGGTTTCTTCTAACACACAGAGAGTAGCTACGTCACGCACACAGGTCTGGAAAACCACGGTGACCGTGCAATGGGAAGCGTGAGTCCACTCACCCATCACCGAATGACAGGAAAGCCAAACGAGAGCCGCTGCTGGCTGGGTGGAGAAGGAAGGGGAGGTGGCACCCGTGTGACGCTTATCCCCGGGCACCGCACCGGACGGAACGACCTTCTCACCGGTTCGTACTCTAGCCTGTCCAGACAGCTAGCCTTTTCTAATAGGCTCTGCCACTCTCTCTCTGGAGCAGGATTCGGGGCATGAGGCGATGAATCTAAACCCTACACACAGGTGTCGGAGGGTAGAGGCATCATCACTCACATGCCTGTGGTGGAGGACCTGGACCCGAGCGTGGCGGTGCACAGTGTGTGTGTGTGTGTGTGTGTGTGTGTGTGTGTGTGTGTGTGTGTGTGTGTGTGTGTGTGTGTGCGGGGCTGGGGGGAGGGCAGGTAGGGAACCCTAGGAGGAAACACAGGGAGAGACGAGGGGCCCCGGCCCAAACAGAGTGGAGGCGTCAGTCAGAGGGGCGATCCTATCGCCCGGGGGTGAAGCATGGTTAGAACCCACAGGCCCGGCGGGCGTACTTCTCTTTGGAGTTCGCACTGGGAACATACGCAGGCACAAGTGCCCCAGCACACACATCGCATCACAGACGGGTAGAGAGGCAGAGCCAGGGGTTCAGGCATGGCAAACACTCTATTCCGTCAACACACACACACACACACACACACACACGTTACGGTGTGTGTACAATATCCACAAGGTAAAAGTTTATTCATCCATTCCCCAAAGAATAAGGATAAGATTATGTCAGACAGAGGGAAGTAGATCGACGGACTAGGAGCGCGAGGGGCGGGGGGGGGGGGGGGGGGTTGCCGGCGGCGGAGAAGAACCTAGAACAGGTGATGCCAGGGGAAGACAGACCGGCGGAAAGACAGACAGACAGACCGACCGACCGACCGACCGACCAACGGCACGGCACGTGTTTTCCCTCCTATGTGGATGCTAGACCTAAACTATAACTGGACATGGTAAGCTACACAGCACTCCGGGCAAACAGAGTGTGTGTGTGTGTCCCCGTGTGGGTGACACACATAACGTCCTTTTGTCAGAAGGTGTAACTTCTCTGAGCATTTAAGATATTGCAGAGAAGACATAAGACGTGATATCCCTAAGTGGCACGACTGTGAACGTATTATCACAACCGGACGTGTTAGGATTAAAGCTGGAATTAGGAGGACAGAAACGTACCTGTCATTATTACAAGTATATTTGGTTTAGGATCTTTCAAAACACATTGATGTATCCTTCTGGACACCATGGTCTAGGACCACACCAGTAAATAGCCACTTCAAAGCCAGATCATCGGTTGGATACGTTTCAATTGGTTTATATTGCATCCTCCAATATTTTTTTCTTCTTTTTATTCTATCTTCTCACTAAAGATCCAGTGGCATAAAGCTACTTTTGTTCTCTTCATGTTCCATAACTGAAGTGATCTGCTTTGTTTTGCAGCTTTCTCAGCTTAATTCACTGAGGCCTATTTAGTCACACATGATGAGAGGTCCAGATACATCTTTGGGGCCACGGATGGCTTTTGTAAAGTCCATTTGGGGAAATAGCAAATATAATCTACCGTGTTCTAAAATTTAACAGATTATCTCTATGGGACCGATAGAAATATCCAGATGTGCCCTGTCAACAGCCAGTTATTTTAACTTACTTAAGGGAAATCAAGTGAATAAAAGTCTATATAGTTCAAGAAATTTTATTCTGATACCTATATAAAAAGTTTACCTGAGTGGGTGAGGACATTTGCATGAAATTTCACCTAGGGCAGCACTTGATATTTATAACTCTCCCTGAACTATTGCATTGCCTGTTTTCCATTTTCTTGGCACTCCTTGAGAAATGTTCCCGTCTCAATCTTTCACCCACTGCAGCCGTGGGACCCTTTTTCATAATACTGACATAAAGACATTTGTGTTACTGTATATAAATTACAACCGTAAATAAACTGGTACAGTTTGCTCATAAGACGTAATATCCAAACGAATTCCGTGTCCAGAAAATAACGAAAAGAAACACCCCCTGCGGGCCCCCCTCCCCCTCCGCTCGGCCCTCCCTTCAAGAAAATTTCCTTGTTTGCTGTGGTTTCATTTTGTTTTGTTGTAAATAAAGCCGCAGAAGAGAGCCGGCGATACCTCATCGCGACTCTCGCGAGAGTCTGCGAGACTCTCGCGAGAGTCGCCAGCCATCAGCCATCAGCCCCGAATCACTCCCTGTCACTCCACACGGTGTCCAGTAGGTGGCACCCCGAAACAAGGAAAAACAACGTCAGGCCCAAGATCGATCCAGACCGAACCGACACTTTAGGAAGGTCTTGTGAGGAAGGAACACCTCCCCCTCACCCGCGCGCGCGCACACACACACACACACACACACACACACACACACACACACACGCACGCACGCACACACACACACACAGACACACACACACACACACACACACACACACACACACACACACACACGCCCCAGCATCCCCGCCCACACAGGTCATGAATGGCAAACCCCTATCGCACAGAGAGACAGACAGACAAAGCACACCGGGTGTGGAGAGAGACCGCAGATGAAAAACAAAAACAAAACCAAAAAACATTTTCCTGGCTTGACCCATGAATGGGCCTGGGCTGGCATTCTGTCCTCTGGGATCTACAGTCAATCCATGGCGGGTCTCGCCTCTCTCCTCATCACTGTAATCCTATCTGATATTTGCCAGAGCCGAACGTGCAGTGGGGACACTTTGGTTCATCGATCTAAACTAGGGGCCGGGGGGGGGGGGGGGAGGGTGGCGGGCGCGGAGGGGAAGCCTAGGAAGTCTGTTGCTATAGTTGGTGGCGGCGGCGGCGGCGGCGGCGGCGGCGGTGGTGGCAGTGCAAAGTGTGTGGGGGGGGAGGGGAAGAGGTAGATCACATGCTGCCATGCGTGCCTGTGTCTGTGTGGTAGGAAACAGCAGCAAAGATCAAGGGGTGCAGGGTGTGTGTGTGCACGCCCCAATCCTGGGATTGAACTCAGAGCCTGAGTGCTGTCCCGTGGCTCTTGTGCTCAAGACTGGCACTCTGGGGCTGGCAAGGTGGCTCAGTGGTAGAGCGCTTGCCTTGCGTGCATGAGGCCCCGGATTCGATTCCTCAGCACCACATAAGCAGAAAAAAGCCGGAAGTGGCATTGTGGCTCAAGTGGTAGAGTGCTAGCCTTAACCTGAAGAGCTGAGGGACAGCGCCCAGGCCCAGAGTTCAGGCCCACGACCGGACACCCCCTACCCCGTGCCAAAAAAAAAAAACAGAGAGACTGGCAGTCTGCCATTTGAGCCAAAACTCCACTTCTGGCCTTTGGGTTGCTTAATTGAAGACATGAGGCTCACCAAAGTGCAATGCCTATATACCTCTGATCATATAAGAAGTCTTCCCCTTTCTTTGTGTTTGTTATCATCGACGTTATTTTGTTTTCTCTTCCCCCCCCCCATTGTTTCTTCCTTCATCTATTTCCGGGAGGGGCAAGAAATGGAGGGACCCAGGATGAAGAAGTGCAACAGTGGCACTCACTAGACACTATGTTGACACACAACCTGTGGCTGGGGAACAAACAGAACTTGAGGGAGGGAAAATCTGTGAGAGAGCCAGGGAAGGGGTGACATTGTCCAAAAAAAATGTACTCTTTTTTTGGGTGTGGGGGGAAATGGGAGGGCAGGAATGGAAACAAAGGAGGAGGCAGCAATGCTTGATAAGAAATGTACTCATTTCCTTGCTCTTGCTCCTGTCATTGTAACCACTCTGTAAGTATTTTCACAATTAAAACAACTCATTAGCCGGGCGCCGGTGGCTCACGCCTGTAATCCTAGCTACTCAGGAGGCTGAGATCTGAGGATCGCGGTTCAAAGCCAGCCCGGGCAGGATAGCGCCCAAGCCCAGAGTTCAAGCCCCACGAGAAAAAAAAAACAAAAACAAAAACAAAAACAAAACTTATTAATTAAAAAAAAATGTACTCTTCCTACCCCACTTATGTAATGTAATCTTTCCTATCCTTTTTTTTTTTTTGGGGGGGGGGGGGTCGGTGGTGTTTCTTAAACTCTGGGCCTGGGTGCTGTCCCTAAACTCTTCAGCTCAAAGCGAGCGCTCTACCGCTTGAGCCACAGCGCCACTTCCGATTTTCCAGTGCCTTATTGGAGATAAGAGTCTGGTGACTTTCCTGCCCTGGCTGGCTTTGAACCGTGATCCTCAGCTCTCAGCCTCCTGAGCAGCTAGGATTACAGACGCGAGCCACCGGTGCGGACTGGCATACTTTAACCGTTCTGTATGTCACCATTTCCCTAACAATTTGTAAAAAAAAAAAATCAAGAGAGAGGGCGGGGGAGATAACAACCCCTCACGCCTGAGAAGTGAAACCCAACGGGCTTCTAACCGATCTGAGATTCTTTGAAGGTTTTTGCGATGTTAATCACAATCACAAACACAGACGGACAGTTTCTCCAGTCACTCCTTTAGAGGAACGGGGAACAGGGACAGGGAGAAGAGAGGCAGATCCTGGCCTGACCTAGGCGGGAAGATGGAGGGGAGACAAGACTCCTGAACTCCTTTTTCCCCCTCACTCTCCTCCGTCCAGAGGGTGGGAGCTTAGGGGTCGGCCACGGGGACATCCCACGGTCACAGTCATGCCTCCCGGAGGGGCAGAGGGCAGAGCACAGGCAAGCATGCCAGCTTCCCCGCCCGCCCCTCCCATTCTGTCCCTGGCGGGCTTGGGCGGGAGGCATACTACTGGCAGCGGGCGGGTGGAAGCAGTCTGACAACTCCATCTTGCAGGAAGTCAGTGGCTGCTGGTGGTAGGCAGGGAGGGTCCCAGCAGAAA